CTGGGGCCATGGCACCCTTCACCTGCATCAGGGCGCCTGGGCAGCGGTTGGTGCCGGGTTTGGGGTCTAGACGGTTTAGGGTTTAGGGTTTAGGGTTTAGGGTCTAGGGTTTAGGGTGTGGGGCTTCGGATTTGAAACCCCCAATGCTGCAGAATCAACTGGAGAAGAAATTGGAAAATTAAATGGAAACTGGGGTTCCTTAGTGGTGTATAGGGATTAAGGCATGTGGAGGTTTTCGGTGTGTGAATGTACGGTTCCTTAGGGATATTTTCGTGCGTGTGTGTGTACATTTGCTTGGTGTCCAATTGGGGTCAGGCAGGGTTGAGGGTTTAGGATATACCTGGACCTCCCACATATCCACAATGACAGAGAACCCAATCGGCAATTATTTGAGGTATTTGGGAGGTCTGGGTGGGATGGTGCCACTTCCCCTTGAAGGCCTTCATGCTACAAAGCCTCTAGTAGGTTCCATGATGTTTTCCACCCACCCTCTAAGCCCTGGACGTTCCAAGCCCATAGTAGCTTCCATGTTCTTTCCACTTTCTTCCCAAACAGCAGGAAGCAGGAGGACCCTGAACCCTATCAAGCCCATACTAGCTTCCATTTCCTCTTCCAATGTCCCCCGAAACCACCACCAAGCAAGAGGAGTTCAGCGACGTCATCTTCGGCGCCTTGGATCTCAGAGAGGAGAAGCAGGTGGCGAGGCAAGTTCCTCGGCCAAATGGCTCAGGTTCCAGGGCTTAGATTTTGGGTTGAGGGTCGAACATTTCAGGGCTTCAGGTTCAGGATTTAGATTCGGGGTTGAGGCTGGGATTTTCAGGTGTTGTCTTTATAAGGTTTAGGTTTTTCTCTTTAGGTGAGTTGGGCTTGGTTGCTTCCCAGCACAGCCGATGCAGGCTGGATTGGGGGTCAACGCAAGGGAGCGGCGCAAAGGTCGACCACCGTGTGAACCCCTACAAGGCTCGTGGGAGCCCCTGGCCTTCGTCCAACCCAGAGAAGTAGTATAGTTATATAGGGAATACTGAAAAATCACGTGGAAACTACTAGTATATACCTTCGTCCCTTCGTCAAAGCTTCGCCCCCCTTCGTCTAGGCTTGCTTGGGGGTGCAGTTTGTCAGCTCCTTTGGGTGCAAGATAAGAGGCGGGAGGTGAAGAACATCACGGTCCGGAGGTGCAGCCTCGTATAATATATACATATATATATATATGGACCCTGCAATCCCTGTAAAACCCATTATAGTATAGTTTCTATTTTCTTTCCCATTATCCCAATATTACCTCTACATAGTCCCTATATTACCCCTATATAACCCAATATACGTTCATCCTTTTTCTTCCCTTGGTCGAAGTCAACTCTCTCCGCCAAGGTTCATTTTGGTTTTTTAGGGGTTCACAAGGTTCATCCAAGGTCTTTAGGACTTCAGCCCATCGCGGGGGTCCCTTCTGCTTGCCCCCTACGGATGCCAGAGGGTCAGGTAGCTCTTACGGCCGGGCTCAGCCTTGCATCCCTCGACTGCCTAATTAATAGTCCGACTCCTCGACGCATAGGCCGGTTCCTTCCTCACCCTTGCGCCAAGTACATGTTGGTCCATGGTTTCAGCAAGCTCTTCAAGCGCTCGCTTCCGTTCCACGTGTTGATACATGTTTTTGGCGGGAAGGCGTTTTGCACGCCACTCCCACCATGTGCCACAGATCACAGGGTTGATACCGGCCTCCTTCAGGCAGCCCCCCAATGTCCACCCTATGAACAAGGGCACGTGCTGTCCCAGTACATCCCTGATGTTTCCAAGGTTTGGGAAGATGGCGTGCACCTGTGCGTGAAGAGCAGGTGATCTGGCTACTAATGACTTCCTCGTGCTTAAGCTTACTGCGGGCTGCGGGGTGGTAGGGAACCAGGGATATTCATTCATGGATTCTATCCCCACATTCCCCACCAAGAACCCGTAAGTTACTGGTGCTTAAGGGGGAGCGGGCAGCGGATTCCTGTAATCGTCCGCATGTAATTAGCCCATCTATGGTACCTGTCTTCACACCGCCTGGGGCACCAGCAAGTAGAACGTTGCAGGGATGAAGGCTTGAGTTTGTTCAGGGCTTAGTCAAGATCTGTTCCAGGTGGGTAGATCCCAGGTGGGTCACTCCATACGAGGCTCATGGAATGCATGGTCACATGGGGTTTCTGTCAGGGCCCCTTAACTGCTCACCTGGAACTCTGCTTGATGAAGGGCCTGAAAGGTGTGGGGAGTTTCCAGGCTTGAGCTTTGATTCAGGCTTCGACTTGAAAAACAATGTGATTGGATGCGGTCAAGAAACTTGTTCGTGCTAGCAGGCTGAAGCCATGGATCTATAGCCGCATGCCCAAACCTCACCAAAAATGTAGTCCTCCTTAAGTCGATAGAGTATGGCTTGGGTATATTGTAATAAGATCCTCAGATACCCATACTCTACATAGTCCGGGGGGACTATAGACTATAGACGTAATTTTGGGGAGTTGTAAGGTTTTTGTAGATGGCGAGGCCACAAGGTAGTAAACGGTGAACGTGGTTTCTGCGGCAGGCAGTTATACGAAGCAACCCACACATCGCTTGTGGGAGCATGGAAAAGCATTTCCCCATCGGCTAATTAGCATGCCAGCTCCTACGTGAATATGGGTGAAGGTTTGTGCCGATCCATCTTGCCCCCAAATCTTGCATCTTCCTTGCTTTATGTACCCATGAAGCCGACTGCAGGAACAATGGCCGTGCTTTGGTAGCACGACGTAAGACATTGACGCGAAACCATATCGGAGATTCCGGAAATAGGGGGCCCCCTCAAATACTCCAATATACGGCATCCCCTAATCATGGGGATGCCTAAAAGGGACCCCCCCAAGCTATACTACACTCCTTCATAATGAGACCACACAATAGCGATCCCCCCAACTTATGGAAACCCCGCAAATGTGGCTGTAAGGCTTGTCCTTGGCTGAGGGGGGAGTGCGGGAGTGAATATAGGAGCTGTTATAGGTGTACATATGGGGATTATACGGGGGCCATTTTCAAGATTCATCCCTCCATTCTCCCTAAACCCTAAACCTTGAACCTGCAGCACCAGCAAGTCAACCCAGGTGTCCTTTGCACGTCTTCAAGCCAGATGAGCCTCTGGATGAACCCTACACCTTGCAAGTTCAGGCGGGTTAAAGGGTTTAGGGCTGTGGGCCTGGGGGCTTCCATTATCAGGGGGCCCAAAGAAGATCACAATTTCTTCCAAATCCCGAACCCCTAGACTCTTCAAGTTCTTATCCTTATTACACTTATTCTGGAAGTTCTTCTCCTTATCACACTTACCCTGCAAGTTCTTATCCTTATTACACTAACCCTGTAACGTCTTATCCTTACAAAGATCCCAATATGTTCTAAATCCCTAAGGCCCCTACACTCTACAAGTTGTTATCCTTACATTACAATATCCGGAGCTCCCCCAAAAAGGATCCCAAATTTCAGGAGCCTGTCAGCCATTTACAAGCCCATGGGGCTTTAAGGCCCAAGGCGTAGGATGTGCAAATCCACAGCGCTTCTGGGTTTTAGGGTTTTTGGACTTGGGGTTTTAGGGTTTTATGATTTTGGGTTTAGGGTTTATGTAGGAGTTTCCCAAAATGAGGAGTTTGGGGTCCCTGTCGTAAAGACTACAGTATTTTGGGGGTCTATAATGGGCTCTGGTGACTACCATTTAGGGTTTAGGGCTTGATCAGAACTTGCGAGCCTAGTATCACAAACAGGCCGCCTCAGAAAGTATTAGTAACAGTATTAGTAGTATTCATAGCACTAGTAATACTAGTAGTAATAGTAAGAGTACTAGCAATAGTATAGTAGTAATAGGAGTAGTAATAGCAAGTTTTCCTCCCAAATGAGCTAGATGCCTTCGAAGCGTAGGTCCTCTACGAGATGGATGAGGCTTCGATGATGGGTGATCCTATGGCGGGAATGCCCGGGCATACGCCCCTAGAACGCAGTTGCTCCCTAAACGCTTACCCTTAAGCCCTGTTCTGAACCCATTATGGCATTCTTTACCGGGTTGACTTTTGGGATTCACTGCAGAGCTTTGGGTTAGAGTGGACAGTTGTTAAGAGTCCGTGCTGAAATGCCAGGATAATTCGATTGCTTTAGACATGCGGACCATTGCTCGGCATTCTGTTGAGCACATTTTCTCTTTCTTGGGCCTGTGTGCAAACGCTGCCTCAGATGCGCTTTCTCTTGCTGTGTGCCATAGTCTGCAGGCTTAAACTTAAGCCACGTCAGGAAGCGGCAATGAATCTGCTCAAGCGCAGACGGTTCTGCTTACTTGAAGGTCTATGGGCAGCTCCAGGTGAGGTTATAAGTCGGACAGGTGCGCTAAGATATGCCTTAGGAGGACCCCCCCCCCACCCTTTAATAGTGGTCTAATATGAAAATTTGGAGGACGGCAACATAATCCTCATTATCCACTATAGTCACTATTTCTGGGTGGCGGGTCCAGTCAAGATATACCCACTCAAGGCTACCCATGAACCGCCTAAGTACCGACCCAGGCCCAAAGGCCAGACGACAAAGCCCAACTTCGAGAAATTCGAGCGGGAACTGTCGCTGCTGCTTCCCCCTGCTGTATCACAGCTGAGGGGCCCAGAAGAGACCCAGGACTGGAAATTCCTAGAAGATCAGCTATAAGCCTGGGGTTTAGGGTTTGAGGGGTTGGGTTTAAGATTTTGGGGATTGGGGTTTGGGATGGTGAGGTTGAAGGTTTAGGGCTTGGGTGTTGGGGTTTAGGGTCAAGGTTAGTAGTAGCACTCGCCATCCTTACTGGAATCTTTGTTGGGTGTTGGGGTTTAGGGTCTAAGTTAGTAGTAGCACTCGCCATCCTTACTGGAATCCTTGTGCTTCTGTTGCAGACGTGTCGCAGGCTTTCTGATGGTTACTTGAGGTTCAGGGTAGTTATATAGATAGATAAGATAGGTAGATTAATAGATAGATAGATATATAACATCAAGGGATACCTGGCGCTTATAAACAGTAGCAATAAACATAGTTGGGGACTGGAGGGCTTGTACTTGGGTTATAAGTACAGTTTTAGGTGGTTGAATTGCCCTGAGCCTTCAAATGCTGGCTTAATGCTCCGAGACTTCTTTTCGAATGCAGTTGCCATGCAACTTCAAGACCAGAGTCTCTTTGGGAGAGAAGCAGAGACCTGGACTATACACACATTTCTTTGTTTATTCCTACTCCCAGACCATAGAAATCTGTGAAGCCTTTAGTTTCCAAAGCAGCTCAAAAGCAGTCCCTAAACCTTTATACAAGGCAGCCTCAGAGTTTTTAGAAGTGCCAGGAGTTCCGCAGGCGTTGGGACACTTCAGTCATTGGCTCTGGCGTCGATGCCACCGCTTTCCGCAGAGCCGCACGTCAGGTGAGGGAATACAAGCATATGTCTTAACTTGGTAACAATCGTCATCACAAGAGTAGTAATAATAATGTAGTAATGATCGTAAAGATACTAATAATTAGCGGGGCCTAGCAGTTTAATGGCTTGACGGTGTCGGCGGAAGGTATAAGGGGCTTGGGGATTTAAGGTTTGAGCTTAGGGGCGTAGGGTGTTGCAGTTTACTCGTGGGAGGGTAGGGGATTCGGGGTTCAAGGTCTAGAGCTTGTGTTTGGGAAGTTGGGCTGAGTGCTTGGGGTGTATAAGAGTACAACCTGCTTTGCGTCCGGTTGTATAGTAGTGTGATGGAGATGACACCTGAAGGTGAGGGGAACAGCAGCATTCGCACTCCATGCCTTCCCGCTGGGAGACCCCTCCATACAGCTCTGGCAGTCCGAGACCTCCGGTACAGTTACAAAGCAGCAGGCCGTGAACTTTGATGGAAGTCTGGCGCCCCTGAATGCAAGCTACCTGGCGCATTTCTCCCGAGTCCATGCACAACCCCTGCTTCAGAACTACACCTGGGACCTGAAAGACGACATGGAAAAAATCGGCATGCCCGTAGCAGTCCTCTGGGTGAATCACTCAGATACGAACCGCACCAATGCAACGAGCCACGCCCTGGCGGCTTTCCAAAATGTCTGCAACAAGCGCCGCGGTACCAATGCTTCCCATCATCTCCTCTGCTGCGTAATGGACCAGTCCTACGCATACTACCAGCGCAGCTTGCCTGTCCAGTGAGGAACCTATGTTTCTTTGTCAATGTCAACACAGCGGCCCAAAAAAGGTTTGTAGCTAAGTTGGCTGTAGAGGAGACACGAAGCTAGATTGAATTTTCTCGCTACGCCATAAGGCGGCCCCCACAAGAAATCGATCAAATCTCTATGGTTGTGCCAGCACAACGCAAGCCTGGCGCTAGTTTGTGATTTTTTGGACACATGGCGCCCCCCTGCTCGCCACTAAGGCGAGTATGGAAGTCATGAGCCGTATCCTTTCCCCTTCTTCGGCGTCACCAGATGCTTTGCTCTTCAGGAATTTCTCAAAAGAAGAGGGCCCTGGGAACCCTGAGGAATATGACAGGTCCGTAGGGGTTGCTGTTTTGCTTCTTGGTTTCGGGGCGCAAGTGGCTTGTCTTTAATTACCTTCCCTGAAACCCACGTGGAAAACCAAAAGAGGCCCCGTACAGACAAGTGTCTTTTTGAGGAAGGTCAACCATATGTGTACATATATATATGTGTGTGTATGTATGCATAGGGTTACATATTTTGGGGCGCGTTGTGGCTTAAGGGCTTGCAGTTCTGCTCTGAAGCCGGAATATGTATACCATGGCCTCCGCGACTTTTGGTGAACAGAAACCAGGAAAGCTGGGATTCGGTGCCGGCGACCGCTTTGGCTATCCTTTCCAAGAGCCCGTGAACCACACCGTGGCTTGCTGATGCAGCGCGAGAAAATTCTGCCCCTACAAACTAGAACAGGAGCCTACTAATGGTCGGGAATCAACAAGCACTCCCTAAAAAGTGATTACTCTGTTCACAGTAATAGAGTTGAGCGTCCTTCAGTGGTTGCTGAGCGAGGGGCGATCTGCTTACGGCTTTTGATGCCGCTACAGCTGCTCTTCTTGTTAAACTTGCTGTGTAGATTTTGGTGAACGTGCAGAAGGTACACCTTGAAAAGGGGGGGGGGAGATATCTTTTAGAGGTGTGACATTGTGACATTGAAGATCGACGTCCTACCTGACCAAAGGTAGTGGGCTTCTTCAGCAGCCCTCGCCGTGCCACAAAGGACATGAACTCCTGGGTCGGTTCCTGGGTGGCTGTTGAACCGCGGTTTAGGGTTTAGGGTTTTCTCATACGACAAGGAATACAGAGGAAGCAAGATCATGTTTGGGAATCCCTTGACTCTGAGATGAAACACCACCCCAAACTCCTAAGATGATGCATGCCCTGATCCCTCATCCCTAACCCCTAAACCCTCTAAGCCCGCAACTGTATGACTTCGAACATGCCAGACTCATTGGGGACAGATTTACCGTGGTCTCCTTACGAGTTGCTTTTTCAAAAAAAATCTGGTTTAGGAATTATTAAACATGTTAGTGTTCTTATAGGTCTAAGGAGACAACAGTTTAGCATTAGCCGGCTGGGCGGGCCTGGCCAAGTGGTCAGGGCTGCTTTGTGCAGGAAAAGGATTAGGGGGAAGGTACCCCTAATTTTGGGAAACCTCCATATCCCAGGTAGAGTGCTGGCAGGGCGGGTGCCGCCCTCCCACGAGCACCTCGATCAGTATTCGATCAATTGTGCTGTTCTGCATCAGCTTGGATTTTTTTGGGGGTTGGGGTTTAGGGTTACCGGCCCGGACAATGTTCCTTGCGACATCCCCAATCAACACATTCCAGACTGCTACGAGAAGGCTCAACTTTTGAAGACGGCATCTCGCATTCCATGCCCCAGCTCCCCTAAATCGCAAAATCTAAGCCTGTCAAAGACTAGACATCTTAAGGTCATGCGCCAAAAGTCCAAAGCCCAAGCGCCAAACATAAACCCGCGATTTCAATCCCTTTTTCCGGACCTATACACCAGAACCCTAGTCCCTGACTCACATCTCTCTACCCCCACTCCTAGACTTAATGGTGGTCAGGAGGGAAAAAGGGCACATAATCCCTACATAATCCCTATGTAGTTTTTTCGCTTAATCCCTACTAACCATCAGTAAGTAGATCAGTAGCTGAGAAAGGTCAGGGCTTGTGACGAACAGCTCGAAGTGGATCCGAGGACAGGTGTTGCATGGCCGCAATCAAGTCTAGAGCTCACTGTTGATGAGTTGGTTTAGGGTCTTGGGTTTAAGGTTTTGGGTGCAGGGCCAAGGGTTTAGGGATCTGGTTTTTATAGGGTTTAGGTCGCGGTTTAGGGCTAGGACTTTGACGGTGTGATCGGAATGCAAGACTAGTTTGCTTGCACGTGCCAGGGTATTGGTTTGGAATGCCTGCTCTTCCAGAGTGCCTCCCCGTCTTAGAACACTGGAGGAAGTGGTCATGTTGCTTAAGCCGTCATGGGAACTGCGGGGGAAGTAAATCAAGGAGATGATGCAAGTATACAAGACGTAAGCGAAGCAGCTCAGGTTAGACGTAGTCTGGAAGACTTACCAGCGGGAGATCAATGGAAGCACCGCTGATGTGCTACTGGAACTGTATGACGACCAGAGAAAGCAGCAGCATATCGCTACTGCAGTCATGGACGTGCTGGCCAAGACCTTGAAGGATTACGCAGACATCAAGATCGCCCGAATGGAGGCCAGTTTAGAATCTGCGGGACTAGGACCATAATTTCGTTTGGCCAACACCATGCCCCGAAGAAGTAGGGCGTTGAGTCTTGCAAGCTGCATCTCGAGTTCGGGAACCCGCGCAGGTCAGTCAAAATTACGTGCCTGCTGTTTTTGGCCGAAAGCAGTTCTCCAAGGAGACTGAGTTCTTCTGGACACTTGGCAGATGTTGGATACCTTCAGTAGCGCGTATGGGTGCTAGCTGAGTATGCAGAGAAGCTTACCTGCTTGTGCAGGGCTTTCGTGGAACATCACGTTCACTTGCCACTCTACGAACACCACCTAGGCCATTGTGATGTACATTTTGGGGGGTTCCTAAATTGATGTCTACGATCATCGATAGACAAGCATGGGTGCCCCAGAACAGGGGGTAGGGTCTAAGAGTCCAGGCAGCGTAGCCTCTAGCTGCGCGGCTTGAAAAGTGCACGCCGTGCAGCAAGGGCAGCACCACCAGGAACTCTCACTTGAAACTCTCAGCCACTATAGTCCCCCTTAAATAGATAGAATATGGGGTATATGGGGGTCTTACTATAATATACTCAAAGCCATATTCTATCTACTTAAGGGGGACTATAACCCGGTACCCATAAGACCGCGCTTGTAGCTGTGGGAAGGCTGTAGTTATCCAACACAAGTTGTCCAAGCGCCAAATACAGTATATTGCAAATACTAGTACCAATGCCCCATATGTCCAACTACTGGGCACTTGGACCTTTTGCCAAGAAGTTCCAAAAACCTAACAGCCTGAATCCCTAAAATCCTAATCATCAAAACTTCCATAAAATCCCAGTACCTTGAACCTCTATACTTCCTGGTTAGACCTTCGGGGCAAGGATCCCGCCCAGCATTGCCACGGGTGAGTGGACGCCTATCGATCCTGTAAAATTTCCCGGGGAGCCCGAGGATGTCACTGGGCCACTATTTGGGCGTACCATGTTAGGGGTTCTCATAATAAGAAGTATAGTGTTTAGGGGCACCTTTAAAGGGGATATAGGGATGGGTTATATAGGGATAGATAAGGTTTAGGGTTTAGGTTTCCCAAAATTAGGGGGTACCATTTTAGGGGTCCGAATAATCAGGACTAGAGTATTTGGGGGTCTATATTGGGGTCCCCCTGTTTTGGGAAGCTACTATGTGAATTCCTGGGTCATTGTTGGATAATAATGGTTTTCAGTGTTTTTCTACAAGCCCCAAAAAGGAAAATTAGATATGAGCTTTCCTAATCAGGAGCAACCAGATTTAGTTAGATCTTCGGTGGATTTTAGACCTTATGTACTGCGAGATGTTGAATAGGAATTCCTGTTCTTGCTTCACCGGGTTGAAGGTGTTGCTTCCAATTCTGTTCAGGAGGTACACACAAGAGGCCTGGGGGCCTCCATGGTTGGAAGTTGGAAACTAGAAGGTTCAGTTTTGTGACATGTGGGCCCCAATTTGAACTTAGTGTTGGTTTTTAGGGAGTCAGGGAATCCATCCCTACAGCAGACCCCATGAAAACTGCAATGCTGATCCCAGTTTTTCAGTCCCAAACCCTAAACCCTAAACCCCTAAACCCTAAACCCTAAACCACCCGTCCATGAACCAGGCAACTCCTGCGAAGCTTCTGAAGTGGCTTCCTGCCTGGATCATGGCAAAACAGCTTGTGAGGACTTCGCAACCCTAAGCCTGTGAGCCTAAACTAATGGTGAGTGCAACTGAGCAAGCTGCGGGAAGCTCATCTTGGCCTGTAGGTATTATAGGGAATCTGACAACTCATGGTGGAACTTCAGGGCTTGGAATTTGGGTGTGTTATGTCCCAGAATAGGGGATCATGGCAATTCAGTTACTCTCCTGCTATATTCCTGCTCTTCACCAGTTGCGGGTTGAAGAGCCACCTATCAAACGTTGCTTTCTGTTACTGCCCCACGTGAGTGTCAAGACTATTGTTCCCTTGGAAATGCTAGGGATAGACATTGTCACATCTGACTTTCTGGACCAGCTCTCTTCAACTATGCTATGAACATCGCCCTCCTTGTTGTAATGTACTACAACCCGGCCATGTACCGCCTCAAGAAGAAACTCCGATGTCCACTGGCTGTGTCAGAAATGTTGACGTCAGGGCATGCGGACACAGATTTTCTGAAGGGACTGGGGCAGCTACATTTCCGGAATGTGGATAAGACTTAAGGTTCAGGGTTCAAGGATTTGGGGTTCAGGATTTAGTATTAGGGTTTAGGGCATAGGGTTTAGGATTTAGGGTTCAGGATTTAGGGCTGACTAGGGTGTAAGGACGGAAAGAGGAAGTATTTTAGCCTTGTAGTGCATGTATCCGCTACAAGGAATGTTGAAGGGTGTTTCCTGTCTTTCTGCTTTGAACTAACAGATGTAGGGCAAACCCCAATACTTTCTCCGTGTAGTCCTATATTGCTCCCATGTATCTCCGACATGTCTTAATTGACCCTTGAAGCCCTAAACTCTAAGACATCCCTGTAGATTCCCTAGGTAAAAATCCCTTTTTCAGCCAAGGTTCAAGAAGCACACCATGTCGCGCTGGTCCCTCAAGGAGGCGCTTGAGACATCTGCGGACATCTCGGAGGAGGTCCCATGATACAGTTTTGGGTGGGGGTTTAGGGTTTAGGGTTTAGGGTTTAGGGTTGGGTTACGGTTTTGAACCCTAAATTCCAGATTTTCGGCCTGGGGTTTTGGATTTGTAGGGTTCAAGGCCGGGGGCCACTTTCCAGGCGTCCTTTTTCAGATTTCGGCTTAGAGATTCCGATTGCTGGAGGTGTAGAGCCCCCTGAAAGTTTTAATAGCAATAGTGATAGTAATAGTAATAGTCGTAAAAGCCATAGTGATGGTGATAGGGAATTTTCAAAATGTCTTCCATGGTGGGGTTCTCAAAGGTGGAGGGGGCCAGAGGTCCTAGAGTAGGGCTTCCATTATCACACACGGCCCAGCTTTCTTGCGTTAAATGCATGGTATTTCAGGTGACTTAGCTGAGTAGATGTTAATCCTGACTCTAGGGCTTGGGAAGGGCGGTTTAGTTTGCTTCTCAGCCAGTACCTCTGGCGTTGTCTGGTTTACCGTAGGATTGGGTTCTGGCTCATTGTATTTCAGGGTGCAAGGTCACGAGAGTCTTCCAACCCAAGGCTAGGCAATGCGATTCCCAGAGCTGGAACCTGGATATGATATGGGGGTGTTCAACCAAAGAGTAGGGAATTTTAAGTTCCAAATGTCAGGGTCTGTAGCCCCGAGCATCCAAAGCTATAGATAATACCTGCTTTGGGCATTTGGATGCCGAGGGTTTGAGGCCCCCGTTCATATCAACGTTCATATGGACTGTAGTCTAGATTCCTGAAAGGGGGTTATATAGGGGCGTATTGTAGTGGTTATTAAGGGAGATACTACAGTAGAAATTTAGACTATAGTTCATGTGAGGCTCTAAACTGCAAGTTTGCAAAAGGGGTCCTAAACCCTAAACCTGGACATCTCAGTCTAAGACCGCAAGGCTCAGAAAGCCCAGCTTTCCTCTGCGGAGCTTCCCGCCCCATTATTATTCGTTTTGCTACGATCATTACTCCATTGTTAGGGTTTGGGCTTTAGGGGTTTAGGGTTTAGGGGAAATGATTAACATTATTCGTACTGCTATTAACCTTACTAGTACTGTTACTAGATTTACTATTGCTATCAAAATAACATTTACTTATCCTGACCCCCAAGCCCGGGACCCCTTCAGTAAACCCCTACTATCCCTAAGTCCCGCACACCGGACCCCGAGCAGAAACTGCTGAACCCTTCGCAACCTTTCACCCCGTACCGCCGATTTGCATGAAGGTCATGGGACGTGCGAAGCTTCAGCAGCAAATGGATGACCGCGCGGAGGAGGATAAGCAGCAGATGATCAAGAAGATGATGACGACCTTGAAGAAGGAGATGATAAGGGTTTAGGGTTTAGGGTTTAGGGTGGTTCTGAAACCACTGTGTACAAGGAGATCAAAAACATAACTCACATTGGGCATGAGCACGGCCGCCACAAAGAAATGCAAAGAAGGATAACATAGGCGGTGCATGTTTGATTGGTGTTGGCTTCGCTTCCTAGTAGTCTCTGTCCTGCACTAAAAGGGTTTCCATGAATTAGGGGTCCCCTCATAGGATACCGTATTTTTTTCGCTCTAGATTGGCCCCCTTTTTCCTGGAAACTCCCAGGCAAGGAAATGTCAGGCATGTAGAAGCTCCCGAATCTGTTGAATTATGCACTTGGCAGCAGGCTTTCCACGGTCTGCTTAAACGGCAGGGTGTAATTACCTGACAGTGTTTTAGGGGTTTAGTGTTTAGGGTTTCCCTCTACCCATTATTTTACCCTGAATAGTCATGATTAGGAGGGTCCTGGGACAGTGGACCTTGTTTCCTTAGCAGGTCTTCAGGTGATATGTCGAGTTGCGGCAGCTGTTTGCCGCAAGGTAAGGATGGGTGGATTCCTTTAAGGGTTTATAGTGTCTCTTAAGTAGATAGACTATGGCTTTGGGTTTGGTATAATAAGATCCCCGTATACCCCATATTCTCTCTACTTAGAGGGGACGATAAACCCTTAAACCTGCCCTCATTCTTCCAGTCGTCAGAGTCCATATCTGGAAGGAGAAAGGCCTGGTCGATGTCGGGGAGATGATGGGTCTGAAGAAGCCTGGACTCAGTTAGGCCTTAAGACTCCAAGTACTTAAGTGGCCTGTATATGGGGAGCTTTATAAGGGTTGTTAAGGGGGATACCAGGAGATTAGACTATGAATCAAATAAGGTGTTGTAATTTGGGCCCAACGTCGGACCCTACTCATCTACCATAAAGAGACTTGGACGCTCAAGTTGAAGTGCCCTGCCTTTGTGCAGAATGCATGCATGGACGTGACATGTGGTGATTCGCGCGAATCGCAAGCTCTTTTTTTGTGTATGTTTGGGGGGTTCAGGCTTGTGGGTTTTCAGGTAGGCAACTACAAGTGGTGCTTCACTGTGCGTTGGTAGGGCTGGCCTTGCAGAATGGTAGTTGATGTTGTGTTCTGCCGGATGATGTGGCAGCCTGAAAACAACATGGAACTCTGTAGAGCTCCCTCTCAACAGGACTCGAGTCTGTCCAGGGCGATTTTTGGAGCTAGTGGATCCTTCCAGCTTGCTTTCACGGAGGGCCAACTTTTTGGGGAACTGACTGACAACTCTTGTTGCGGGCAGCTGGTTCATACAGAGTCTAGAGTGCCTGGAGCTGCTGGAATTGGGAGACATGTAAGAGAGCACCCTGTAAGCAGAATCCAGTCCCTTTGACATTAAGCATTCTTCCTTTCCACAGTATTTGAAAACTTGCCATGAGAGACCACGTATTTTGTAGTAGGTGGGTGCGGATGTTGAAACACTGAACGCTGCAGCATTGGATTTTCCATATTCTGTTCCAGTTGTTTTTCCATGGATGGGGTAATATCCCTAATCCCTAGACGACCCTATAAAGCATCAATCTTGTAGTAGCTTCCATGTTCTTCTCCATCCCCTTCTCTCCCTACATAACCTCTACACAATACAACCCTTGCACAACCCCTTTCTAACCCTACATGACTCATATGAGCTATAGTAGTCCCCTATGTAATCCCCTATTTAACCCCCCTTTAAGGAGTTTAGACTATGGCTCATATGACTCCTATAGATATTATTTGTACTCGGCTCCAAGCAGGGACCACTTTCTGACGAGCCCCGCACATACTCACTGCATCGCCGAGAGGCTGACATGATTCGGGGTTTAGGGTTCAGGATTTAGGGTTTAGGGTTAATTAAGGCCTTAGGGCTTTAGGATAGCAAGTTAGCGCAAGCGCTTCGAAACAACAATCTTGCGTGTAGCTCAGCTACAGCCGCACAATTTTCAAGCCGCAGGCCAACACACCCGAATCCGCCAAGTACCCAGCAAGCTTTGATATCCCAATGGCACACCATCTGGAAACCTCTAAAACCCAAACCTTACTCCAGACCCTAAATCCATGATCCATGTAGCCCTATCCAACACTCCCTGAGCCCCAGACCCCTAACCCCCCATGAAGCCAAGGAAGGCAGCAGATGCCCTGGGAACAGAAGCCCCAGCTCCTGCAAAGAGCGGCAAGGGCAAAATGCAGAAGTCAAAGTCGACGCTTGCAACCAGCACATTGGGGCACAGGTAGGGGCCCCTATTTTTGGGGGGTCCCATTCATTGGAATAAGCAGGAATGAGGGTTTAGGGCTAAGGTTACATAGGATTTCTCTAAAATTTCACTTCACTGACGGAAAATCACATGAAAAACAGAATGGGAAATGACATGGAAAGTTGGATTGTAGTGGTGTATATGGATGAATCACATGAGCTACTGTCAGGATTGGGACGGGACCTTTAAGGGCGAAGATAGGGGTCCGTTTGGTAGTTTGTATAGTCCCTGACGCGTTCTCTGACAAAGACCCATGTCCATTGCATTAGGAATTTTTCGGTTATGCGATTTGCGGATTACGGTTTTGGGTTCAGGGTTGAGGCAGATCTTTCACAAGCAGCAAACTCTCCAGAAGGAGTTAGAGATTCGCAAGCAGCGATACGTGAGGTGATATGTGTCCTGAGTTGGCTTGTTGAATACAGCGCTGACCTATCTACAACGAAGCAACCATGACCGCGCCGTGAACCATGAAGCGTGCTTGGATCTTCTTGGTGGGTCCTGAGGATGGTACTTCAGGACAGAAGAAAGCACTCATGTTAGAGAAGTCTAGAAAGTGCTTTTCTAAGAGTTTCCGAAAGGGAACCGCAAGTGTGTTGCATGCGCAACAGGATTTTAACCAAGCGAAGTAGTGGAAGGAGCTAATGCAACCTCCAGTGGGTTCTCTTGTAGAGAGATTGCAAGATCTCACGAGGTTGACGGGACCCAACATAGACACCAACAGCCTGACGTCAGACCCTGTTTGTTGTACGCTATTAGTCCGATCGCAGTGTGCCCATATACAAGACTTGCGTGAAAGTCTTGACAAAACGGACTGCATTCATTGTGCCACCTAATGCTTCGGTCAAGGACTCCAGCGGAGGATTTGACTGCGGAAGGCGGCTGTCACCCAGGGTGTACCAATCCCCAGACTTACATGGAACCCTACACGACACATTGACAGTTTAGAGTTTAGGGTTTATACCACACCTTGAAAAACAGCCAGCATTGTTCAGATGCCGTGTTAGTTTGGGAGAGCGTAGCTTGGAGTCCAAAGATGGTATATTTGGCTATGACTACCCTGAACCCTGCAAGTAGGAGACATGTCAAGCTTGCCGAGGGTTAGGGGTTAGGTTTCGGGTTTAGGGCGTAGGAGTTAGTGTTAGGTTTAGGCGTCGACAGTGGAAGGTTACTGTCTAATGTAGAGACTTGAATAGTCGGCATGCAAATGTACTCCCTGATTTTCCTTCTAGAGTTATAGCGTGATGTCGGGCAAACCATGCTGTTGGTTGGGCTTGGGGACTCGTTCTGTCACCTGCATGTCCCAAAACTGCAGACATGAATCCTGTACTGTTCATTGGTGCTGCTTTGCAATTAGCCCTGAGTATGCTGTGGTCTGCCTATCGCAGGGGGTGTAACAGACGTGAGCGCCTGTGTATGTCCCAGAGTTTGTGCGTGGGTGCAAGTTTGCGCATGTGTGTTTCCTGTGGGTTTACGTAATTGTGGGCAGGGGCCTTGTGGATTGAGGAGAGTCTGAGTTCGTACTCATTCGGTTTGTGTGTTATGAAGGCGCAGACCACTTGCATGCCATGATGTGATAAGGACATCGGGCCAAAACAGAAGCCTACATGAAGATGGCTTGATTTACAGCAAGTATGACGTGTCACACGTCTCGAACAGATTGACCACAACTCCCAACTGCATGGAGCACTGTATTCGATGCCCCTGCTAGGCGGATGGTGCTAGGCAGGAGGAGACAAGCTCGTTCCCACGTAGCGGTAGCAGCAGCAGCAGCAGCAGCAGCAGCAGTGGCAGCAGTTGCGCACATTCAAATCCAGCTCCGCCTGCGCAAGGACAATGACTGCTCACCAGTTTGACAAGCGGGCAATGGGGCAGTTGGGGGGGACTGCTGGGGATGTGTTTTTGTTATTGCAATTTCCTGCTGTAGGCAGGGGTGATGGGCTACAGGCACAAGTCTCTAAGCCTTCAAGAGCCGCTGCAAATTGCGCGCAGGCCAAGAGCAAAAAAGGGCAGACAGGAAAGCCAAGCTACAGAAGGAGGAGCAGAGGCTACATGTTTACTGTGAGATGACTGTCCTTCCCGAACCTAGAAAACAGTTTGCCTGCAAAAAAAGCATGCCTTTGCACAGTTCGGAGCACTCTCTAGCAGATTTCAGAGCTCATGCCAAGAAATAAGTTCTTAGTAAGCGACAATCGATGTTAACGAACTTACAACCTCATTTGGGACTTGTGCCTGCGAGTGAAGCAACTGTGCAGGTAAATGGCTGCTCGTACTTAAATACTGTGTTACTAAGTCCCGCACCCTCACAAGCAACTCATGTCTTAAGCATCAATACATTTTACATTGGGAAGTCTTGCTCCTCCATGTCTTCTAAATGGCATGAGCACTTCTTCGAGTAGGCATGAAGTCGCACCCCAAGCCACGGTTCATCTCTCTAATGCATTGGGTTTTGGGGGCATATTGGACTATCCCTTTAAAAGGGTAACATGCAACATTCCTGGAGATAGTATAAGGATGGGGGTGGTAGGGGAGCCCATGAGCAGATGACAAAGACCATCCTGGAGGTGGTAGAGCCATCCACCATATGCAATGACCCCAGAATTAACTGAATGATTTTGGTAAATCCCTATATCCTTGTATGCACTCCTGGAAGACTCATGCGATAGCAGGTGCAGCCGATCATAGGGTTCTGTTTTTGGGGCTTGGGGCAACCTAGTCCGCCGACGCCCTGTTCTGCCATACTCTCCTCCTACTCTTGAGCATCGGGAAGGGGGGGAAAGGGATCCTTCCTGCAAGCCCTCTAAAATCAGTGCAGCCCTATGCCGGCCTCAGGCGTAACCCCGCTGCTTCCAAAAGTGCCTATCATGAATATAAGGCAGACCCCAATATAGGCCCCCAAATACTATAGTCCTTATTATAGGGACCCCCAAAAAGGTACCCATACTTTTGGGAAACTCCCATCAATCAACCAGGCAAAGCAAGTCCCCATTTTCTTGGATGCCAAAGCCCAAAACCCAAAATCTGAACCTTAACAGGCAGAAGGACATTGCCCAGAAAGACCGGGAAAAGCGAAAGCGGAGGCTAGAGCTAGAGAAGCAGCGCCAGGCAGGAGCTTGCGAAATCAGAGACGTTAGGGTTTCATTCTAAGGCTGGTGTCGAAGAAGGGTTTGAGTCTACGGTGTGGGCTTAGGCTTGAGGGTTCAGGTTCGGCTTGCCTTTCTGGTTGTTAGTAGGGAGTATGCACTGTCCCTCTATAATCCGTATTAGTATATTCCTTATTCCGTACTAGTTAAACCCCAGTAAGTTTGCGACAGGCCTCAGTCCAGGGCTCGGGGGGCAAGTTCTTCCTGGTTGTTGCAGGGCCCCTAAGCCCCAAACCCTGAACCCTGAACCGTAAACCCTAAACTCCAAATCCTAAACCCTGAACTCCCTACCCCCTGAAACCTGAACCCCGAACCCTGAAGCCTGAACCCTGAACCCTATAAGCTCTAAACCCTAGACTCTAGACTATGGGTGGTGCAAAAGCACGGCTTGCCATGAAAGCCCTATATCCTGCCCCTGCTTGTTAGCGCGGCACTTGACGTGTCATTTTGAAGCCCCGACAAGACCCTGATTCTCTGACAACTGCCCATTTGCTAAGCGAGATCTTACGAAATCTTTGTTAGGGAGTGGAAGGCTTTAATACTTGGGGGGCGGAGCGGATTAATTCCTCTTCCGCTCTCTTGAAAACCAGAGTCCAGAACCAGCCAGGAGAAGAAAAAGCTGGAGGACGCTGGATGCTAAACCGTAGCAGGTTTCGGGGTTTGGGGGTTTAGGGTTTGTAGAGTCTAAGTCAGGTCCGGGTTCTATGGCTTTGAGCTCGGGCTATACTTCATGACTTGGTGGACATAGGGTTGCTGAATATCATAGTCTATTGCTGGGACGTATGAAGATGACATGGGGGATTGCTATGCAAGGTTAGGTGTCTATTGTCCTCAATTGCAGGTTATTCCTGGCTTCTTGTTTGGAACGGTGATACGATTTCTCCGGGTATGCATACATCAGGACTAAGCTCAGTAGCTTCCAAAACATGAGACACCCGCAGGTATATCCCGAACGAGGGCTTGCACTATTTAATGGATACCCTAAACCAAAGGCCCCAAACCTTAAACCCTAAACCCTACGTGCGGGGACCCCATTCCTTGACTAACAACCATACCTTGCATTCCCTGGGTTTTTTGCCCTACCACTGTCACAGAGTTCTTATGAAGCCTCCCCCAAAAGGCCATGTAGCTCTGTAGTATCTACCTATAGTCCTATGTACGTATATGGGAACCCTTTGGGCCCTAAGTATATGGTATATATATATATATACACACACCTACATGGGCCCTTTGCCTCCTAACTTGCGGCTTAGCCCTATGTCGGAGGAGCAGCAGCGGCGAGAAAAGGCCGCGAAAGAAGCCGAGGCCCATGCTGATTTTGTTTTACGGTTGAGCCCTGGGGGGATGTAATCCTGGTAATAGTGATTGCAGTAGTAATTAGTAGTAGTAGCAGTAGTAGTAGTAGTAATAATAAGTAATAATAGTAATAATAATAATAACAATAATTAAGAGTAACAATAAGAATACTGTTAATGTACTAATGCCTTGCATGTTGTTGGAGCTGCAACACTGCTTGGAGGTTAAGTAGAGCGGAGAAGTAGCTTTTGGACCTTGTTTTGCAGCGTCGTACGAGGTATATTGTGCTGCATGGCGATCAGATTCGCAGCATCTTTTACATTGGAATCCGTATGGCCTCCCATGGTTACCCTCACTGCAGATCTGCTATGTGCCATTCTCATCATTACTATTGTCACCACTAGGCTCATGCATGGGACAGTGAAGATAGGAGTCTAGAACATCATAAAACGTTTTGCGCTGGCCCTAGACTGCAGGAACCATTCCCGGAATGTCGCTTGTAAGTCCGATTACTACACTTATTTTGAATCCCTTTGCAAGGAACCTGGACCCTTCTATCAGGGTACCGGGACCTTGCAGGAAGTGAGCGATTACTTGAATTGAGTGAGAGGCCTGGAGACTTGCAGCTTTTAGCGGTGCAGGCAAAGCGAAGGAAGAAGGAGGCGGAACGACTTCGCCAGCCTGCCACGCCACTGCCCCTAGACTCTTGAAATGATCCTGCATTACATAAGGTCTCCTATAGGGAACCTAAGAATATGACGGTTGGGGGGTGTTGATGTTAGGGGAGGGAAGGTGATTACTATCTTTGGGGCTTGATTTATCTACCATCGTATAGGGGTTGAAGGACAGCCTGCGTATCAAGGGTTGTTTCTGGCGTCCTGAATAGATACCAAATTATGTTCATTGATTCTTTTGCACAATCAAGACATAGGGTACCTCAAATGGACTTCAAAAAACATTGGTACACAATACTTATTTCGGGTCTCTCATCCCGCATAAGCGGCCCTACACACCGTTTTCATATTCCGTGTTCTTTTCGGTTCGACGTTCCATGATGGGGAGAGACTTAGGCCCTAAACCGCAAACCCTACATATCCCCCGTACCCTCCTGTAAAGAATGGTAATGTTGGCCATTGCTTAGGCGTCTACAGTACATGACATGGTAGCTTCCCTAAATAGAGCTACCCCATCATGGACCCCAAAGTACTATAATCCTTACTATAGGGACCCGCAAAAAGGTACTCTTAATTTCGGGAACCACAACCCCCTAAATCCCTATAAAACCATATAAAACCCCTATATCTACTTTCAAGGTACTCCTAATTTTGGGAAACGCCCATATTGGTCGTGCGAGAGCCTCAAAGCCTCGATCGCAGATGAGGTTTTCTTGGGGACAGTCGAAGGAGCAGATTCGCATCTCCGTTTCTATCCCTCAGCCGCATGCCCTACTTAAAGTTTACTTTCTGGTGATTCGTAGGGAACAAGGGAACATACTCCCTATGTAGTCCCTCTATAATGTCTTTTAGGAGGACCCCCCCACCCTGTGATAGTAGTATACTAGGAAAATATGAGGACCCTAATGGAATCCTTATGATCCCATATAGTGACTATTACAGGGTGGGGGCTCCACCTAAGATATATTCCTCTATTCCCTCCTAAGTACACTTTGGGGTGCTTAAGGGAGGGGAAGTTGGAAGCCTGTTCACAGCATGGCTCTGGGAACGGGAATCATTCAGAATGCGGGTTTAGGGTTCAGGGTTGAGCACTGGGCAGAGCGTGCTCAAGGGTTTAGGCTTGGGGGAACGAAACTTAGGGGTGTACTACCTGGCAGGTTGATGCAAGAGGAGCATGGACTATAGGGCAGGATTTTGTCAGGAATATACTATAGTAGTTTCCATTTTCTTTTCCATTATCCCAATATACCCCCAATATACTATAGTAGTTTCCATTTTCTTTTCCATTATCCCAATATACCGCTTTGAAGTTGATATGGGCAGTCACTTGAGTTTTGGTCCTTAGGGAGGTCAAGAAAGATCGGCCTGGACCCTACTGGGTTGCTGTTAAGGAACTTAATTTAAGTTACTATATTGGTGAAACCCTATTATTTACTATATATATACCCATTATGGTAACTTAATTTAAGTTCCTTAACAGCAACCCAGCCTAGTCAAATGAGAGGTTTTATCCCCGAAATCTTCTTTGTATGACTGGGGTGTTGAGTAAGCCCTCGTACCCTTGTTTGGGGGGTCCTAAGTTCGTTATAGCGCTAAACGGCTGGCCCTTTTGTCCCATGATGGAAACAAAAACTGTATCTGTCACGCGCAGGAGGAGGCAGGCACTCCGTAACTGTTTGAAAAACAGTTTTAAGTAACGGCGAGATGCCTCGATTACTTGATTCCGAGTCCAGGAAGAGTCTTTCTCTCTGCTTATGCTGACCTCCGGTATTGCGTGCCCGTGGGCTTGATTTCCACCAGCTTTCTTTCTAACAACTTCTGTTGTAGCTGCATTGTAGCGCTCAAAGTCTTGAGTCAAGGCTGTCTTAGCTAGGTCAAGGCTAGCGTATCTGCCATTGAGGTTTCACTTCTTAAGCGCAGGGACCTGTTTTTCACTTCGTTGATCCAACCGTCAGGCTACGGATGCGAGACTTCGCGAAATTCTACAAGACTAAGTAGAACTTCCCCTCATAGCCACAACCTGTCCCATCAAACATACATTCGCCTGCTACGTAATGATGCCATGTCTGAAAAGTGCATTACTGGGTGGCGTGGGGGTAGGTGAGTATTAGCCCAAAGGCTCCATGTAGCTATATGGTGTATACTTCGGGCCCGAAGGGATTCCCCTAAAATTACTTTAGGGCCCAAGTGTATACCATATAGCTTCATGGAGCCTTTGGGTAGGTGAAGGTGAATATTGCAAAAACCTTGGGCGTAGAGGTCGGGCTTGCTAAAGTTGGCCAAGCTGCAGAAGTTTCAACCGTGGGGTTTAGGGCGTAGGGTTTAGGGCTTAGGGTTTAGGATTTAGGGCTTAGGGTTCAAGGTCTAGGGCTTAGGGTTTAGGGTCCTAAACCCTAAGCCCTGGAGAGCCGAAGGTGTCCTGGTCGTCTACTTTTGTTTGAGGCTTAGCGGTCATTGTTATGGCTATTTGGGAGGAGAACCCCAGCCCTTGACCCTGTAACCCCCCAAACCCTAAAATGTGAAGGGAAAACCCCAAACTCCACCCAACTCGAGGCTGCAGCCGAGGATTCCCAGACAGCACCCATGTTAGCCTGAAAATTGAGATGCCTTCCTCTCCAATGCCCTCCCCCTAGCAAAAAGCCCTATAAAGCCCCAATGATACATATCCTCTAGAGATACCCTTATCGGTTAGGGTTGGGGGAATATTCAAGATCAGCGGGTGGGGTTGGCAGCGCTACAGCAATCCTGGCTCCCAAGCTCCAACCCTGCGCCCTGAACCACTCTAAACCTACAGCGTAAACCTAAACCCTAGGCCGAAAAAACCTAAACCTTGACGTCTAAAGATTCAAAATCCCCACGCAAGCTTGAGACCCTTCTCCGCGAGTCCTAGGCTTCAAACCGAGTCCGTCAATGCCACCGTGGGAATTGACAAGGCAGCGTGTCCAAAAGTAAGGAGGTCTCGAGAAACTAGGGGCCCCCAATTTGGGAGTCCCGCAAGTATGGAGCATATACAATGTGGGTTTGCATCCGGCACCCGTTTCATGGGCACCAAGTACCCTGAACTCCCAGACCCCAAGCCGCTAAACCCTGAGCCCTATCTGCCACACGGAGTGTAGTGTGGTTTTTCGTTGAACCAGCGAGAAATCGACGACGCTACTTAGGTTCCGCGTAATCATAAGCCAGTTAGGGTTCAGGGTTTAGGGTTGATCAATCCTAATTGATACCTATGACCCGAAGATAACAACACTGGGGACCTAGGGGGTTCATTACTGGGTGATATGAGTACACTTAGAATGGAGTATAATTGCTTTGAACTTTCAAGTACATTTGATGTTGACAGACCAGCATGACCCGGAAGACCTATTACCTTGGAAACTAGACTGGTTCCCTACGCTAGGGTCATGCAGGGTTTTCAGTATCAACAGTACTACCAAGGCCCCCTTAGTATGGCATGCAGATTTAACAGCAATCTCGCGTGCTCATGCAATCTCTCGAGTAGGAGCTTAACATCGATTTCATTGCGGAAGGTATGCATACCCAGACCTTAAAGGTAGGCGGTAAAACTATGGCCAAAAAGCATCAAGGATAGTCAACAAGGCCATCATTCTACATATTCTAGAGGTCCAGGTAGCCGAACAACCCGCTGAAACAGGTGAACATGAGCTGCCGCGACTGGCAGAAACGGCCTTATATCCTTGTCTTTGAGTTCCTGGCCTCTTCCGGGGATGGGGCCGTAAAATGCTGGGTTGCTGCTGTTGAGGAATTCAAACTGGAGTTCCCATAATATGGGTAAATTACTGGATTGCTGTAGGGAATTCAAATTGAGTTCCCAAATTGTGGGTATACCGTAGAAAACAGGGTTTCTCAATTCCAGTAGTTGAGTTTAAGTTCCTGAACAGCAACCCAGAGCAGTGGCTTTTTAGCTGTGTTTTGAGATGTTGGATCATGGTTTTACTTGCCGGGTTTGAGTGCATGAGCTTTGGGCAACGGGTAATGTGGTACATGGCCTTGTGAGACCATCATGTACCTTGAATATCCTGCCTTTGTTGGGCTTTCGTCCTTGACACGCGGTACACTCCAAACACCAACATGACAGGGGTCCCCTTCAACCTGCAGTGGTTACTTTCAGCATATGCTGCTGGGCCTCCCCTGCAGTCTCGGGCACCCACTCTTCTGTCAGTTTAGACGGAGAAATGCGTAAATCGAGTACCCACCAAAACTCTACAATGGGATCATAAGTCGTACATGTTTAGGGCCTATACGGATAACACGGCCCAAATCTTCATGCAATAGGCCGCGAAGTGCTTTGGTGATCCTATTCAGGGACTGCAAGGGTGCGGTTCCACAGGGTACGCGTGAAAGTTCGACCCCTCTTATTCACTGCATCCCTTGTTTAGCCCTGTATCCTACATAAGGTCAGAAGATGTGATAAGAACAGAAGGCAGGAGGCAAACCCTCAACCCTCGAGGCAGTCTCAGGAGAGGTGGTGTTATACATCCACTGTATTCACGCAAGGTATACAAGGGCATGTTCTTGGACCTCCCGGTATCCGCGGTGTTCCCTAGTTTGGCACGAGAACGGAACCACAGCAACCTGCTTCTAAGTGAATCTGTCTACACTTCCACAGGATCATAAACCGTCCCAGTTTCTTGTGGAGCTGATCAACCTTGAAGTGATGGGCTTCAATCTCCTTGACCTGAAGGCTAAAAACTATGCAAGCCATAAACCCTAGGCACACCTTGTACCCTGGACTGGAGTGTTGAAAAGGTTGCGAGAATTCATCGTTCCTGCAAACTCATCTTGGACTGTCCGGCATTCAGAGGACATTTGCTGCAGGGGGAGAGGCCCACATCTAATGTAGCAGCCTGGATACTTACCAATTCTATAGGGTTTAGGGGTTACATAGGAATTACCATATTGCCCAACAAGCGAGAATCAAATGGACAAGAAGGAGGAAAATGTCCTGGAGAGTGCGGGGTATGTAAGGCTTTCAGGGAGAGATACCAACATTATGGTCCCAGCTAGCCTCCTTGTACGAATGCAGTTTAGGGTGCCTCAAACCGACCTCAAACTCATACAGGTAACTGCCAAGGGTTTAGGGTTTAGGGGCCTTGAAAGTGCATGTGAGAGTGCTGGTGGCAAGCAAGTAGCAGGCCTTGCTCTCCAAAACCTCAAACCGGAATCCCTCAAGTCTAAACACGCATCAAGATGTCATGTTATGCTATACGCCTACCCCCAAGAGGATCTAAAATCGGGATCAATGAAGTAGGTTGGGTCATGACATGTAGATGTTAAATTCAAATGTTGGTAGGTCACCCTAAATCCTAAAAGGTTTTGCTCACATGGCATCGAGTTGTCAAGCCCTCAGCCTTACAAACCCCAAGCCTCGGACCTTTTTTGGCGGGATGGGTGAGGAGGCAGATCCAAAGCCCGATGGCCTACTGCTGACGCTGCAGAAGCTCGGCTTTTCAGGTTCTAGGATTCAAGGGTTTAGGGTTTAGGGGGTTCTAGGATTCAAGGTGTGTGTATTTTGTTGTTTTTGTCTTTCTTTATGGGCAGGCGGGCTAGGTGTTCGTTGCGGCTGTAGGGATTGTAATGAGCGGATGATCTAGGGATACAGGGAGCAGCGTTTTGAGTATTGTTGGCTGGGTAGGTACCAGGTGCATACTGTATTCTTGGCTGCCAGCTGCTCACCGTGGCGCTAGGAAGCTCAGACATTTGGGCATTTGGTTCGGGTCTACTAGGAATAATTTGCTTGGACTCAACATGACACAGTTGATAGTGGAGAAGCGAACCCTCAACCCAAAGCTGCGCAGCAGGGAAGCACATCAAGATTATGGAAGTCAGGGGAACAAATCTGGGTTAAGCACAGAGAAGTTCCCAGCCGCAAGTCGAGCAGGCAGGCCTTATCTACGCTTAATCAGACGTCTTGAAAAATGGCCCTTGCGCATTCCTAAGAGGGCCCCATAGGACACTATTCTCCATTTTCTTTGCAAACACTTACACACGGCATGGCGTAACTGGGTCGTAGGGATCATGATTTGTGCCCCCGTTGCTCCTTGCTGACCAGCACTTAGACAAGCAGTTGGGACGCCTCCATAAGTAGGAGCATCCCAATAAAGACCCCAAAGCATTAGAATCCGTATTATAGGGATCCCCAGAAAAGGGACCCCCCAACCTTTCTGAAACCCACTGTTCAGGAAGGAGATCCCACACCGCTGGGACCGCCTGGCGCAAAACCACAGTGCGGCTCGGTTGCTGTTAAGGAAGCGTTCAAGATTGCTATAGTAAGGAAACCCCATTAAGTGTTATATACACATAGTATGGCAACTTTAGACCCTAAACCTTAATATACCCATAAAATGGTAGCGTAATTTATGTTCCTTAACAGCAACCCAGGCGGTCAAAAGCTTCCTGAAGAAGGATTGGGTCCAGGACCGGAGTTCAGACAACCGTAAAAATGCTCAGGTGTTTGTGGCGTAAAGGTACGATGCCGCCACTTCGACAAATTGCAGCAATGTTAGCGTGGGTCTGGTATTCCAACATATTCATGGAGCGCCCAATAGGGGTTGTAAGCCTATCAAGCAGTGTGCCCGAAGATGAAACGGGTCATACAACACATGAGTAGTCTTCAAGAAGGGGGCTTTGGGCTTGGGCCATCTTGCTTTCTTCGTTCTTTCCCAGTGGATACAAGTCCCTAGTAAGTTAAGCATACCGGCAACTTCCATGTTGCAATCTACAGGCTTTATAACCTTTGCCCATCTATCTTACAGCTCACGTCGCTCCGAACATATAACTAGGGGCCCTAACGAATACAGAAGGCGCTTGCAGCAGTCCAGCTGTTCATGTTCGGAGCCGGGGCCATAATCCTCAGTGGCTGCATCAAGGACTAAATCCCAAACACTAAACCTCGGCGCAAGCACCCCAAGCTTAATCTGTGAGCATTCTAGCTGGAGGGTCAAGGGGGCTTAGTGAGAACACCAGCACTGTGCTTACAACCCTTGTAAGCCCCATAATAGCCCCAAGTATCCCCAGTAAAGCCCCCGATCAATTACTAAGTGCCCCTGACCCTTCAAGTACTGGATGGTATTCCCTCTACTACCCCAGACAAATGATAAGTTCTCCTGACCCTCCAACCCCTGAACCCTAAACCCCAAATGTCCAAGTACAGGATGACGGAGACCTTGAAGAGGAGCAGGAAGACGTTGAACTGCCCTCAGGGCAGAACGTCAAGAAGGCGAACGGCTGCCGCGGTCCTTTCACATAGGGTTCAGGGGTGTTTTCGATCCCGCGAATTACTGTCCAGTGTAGGAGCCTAAATAATTCAGCTTTTTGTTCTCACCCCCTCAAAAAAACTTTGTCTACGTAGGTAGGGCCCTGCATCAGTCAGTTTTACTAGAGGATATACTCCTACCTATACTTGCCCGAACTTGTGCAGTAAGGCCCGCAGTAAGGCCTAGTATGGGTTACGACAATTTCTAGCAGGGTTGTATCAACAAGATGTGTTTGCCCTTGCTGGCATTATATTGTATCCTCTGCCAGCTTCCAGAACAACTGGTTAGTTGTTTCCTTGAACTCCAGAAAGCCTGGGCCAAAGCGCGGTACCGGTTTACTCCCAAGTGGTGGACCTGCACCTTTTTGAGTTGCCATAGTTCTACCGTATCGGCAAAAGGTCCGTAGGCGGCTGTGCTGGGCGTTTGCATTTCGCAGGGCTAAGGGTGTTGGCTTGAACTCTTCAGTTCTTGCGCTTGGGCAGTACTTGCGGTCTCACAGAAAACGGCTTCCGTGGATTGTGGTCAGGATGCATTGCTCATATGGTAGCTTCCCAAAATAAGGGGACCCTAATCTTGCCCCCGAAATACTATAGTCCTTATTATGGGGGCCCCAAAAAAGGGTACCCCTAATTTTGGGAAACCCCCATATAGACTCCTGAACCCTATTGAGCCTAAAACCCGAGGAGCTCTACCTTTAGCTGGTCCCAGGGTCGCTGTCCTCTTCCCAGGACTTTACAACCAATTGCATGCCAACACCCGTGGGTTTAGGGTTTCGGGTTTAAGGACTGTAAAGCTGGATACGTGAGTGCTGACAAGAGGTCATACACATCCACTTCTGGTCCTTACTGGGGTGAGCACCGGCACATAGTCATAGTCACCCTGGAAAAGTTGTGGAGGTGACAACAGCTGGATTAGATCGACTCCTTGATCGTCACAGCTTCTTTGGCAGATGAATGGGGTTGAAGGCTAGGCGTTGAGGGCCTTGAAAATTCAACTGAAAAACTCGGTGGCTACAGCCTGGATTTTTAGGGTGCCCTAGCCTGCGGCCTTCTATGGTATTTGTATTGTTGGTACACATGCGCATGTCCTACAAACATGATCTCTCATGCCTGGAATGGGTTGTACAAAGCCTTTGTAATAAGCCGGCTAGTACAACAGACACGTGGCTTCCTTGGTTCAAATTTAGCAAAATGACCCCGAAACTGAACTCTCGAAGGTCCCCTGTTTCCTGAATTCCAGACCGTAGGCCTTTGCCACAGCACCCTGAATCCTAAACCCTAAACCCCATATCTCCAAAACTATAATAGCCCGATAGATCTTGAAGGGGAGGCTGAATAAAAAAGGGTAGTACTAGTATCCCCTAAAGACCTCTAAGGGGGCCCCGGAAGTGTTCAATACCGAGGCTTGGTGGTGCTGGCTTCTCGATTCCCTTGGTGTGACAAGTGCAAGGAGAAGGATAGGGAGTTCACAAAGGCGGCGCGCATGAGCCGTGACAAGGACCTTTCTCGCGGGAGGGGATATGCATTGCATTCGTGGCGGGGGGGGGGTAGGTAAGCCCTAAGCCCTATAACCCCCAACCCCAAACTGAAAACCTTCTTTGGAAACCAGGGTGAAATGGCGAGTCCCCAGGTGATCTTGATCCCATATTCCCAGGATTCAGGGCTTCAAGAATTTAAGTGTAATCTACTACTCTAGAATCCCTAAACCCTAGACTCCCTTCACAATGATCCCAAAACTCTCTAAACCCTAAACTACTTGAGCCCTAGACCCTGATGACATCGACAAAAGACATGGTTTCTCCTTTCAGGGATCGAGGTGCCCTGGGCTTCCGACCATTGTGGCTCTCGGGTCTAGAAGTCAGGTTGTAGGGTTTATTTGGACCTCCCAAAAACGCAAAAACAAAACACAAAAAAAAATCCTATGCACCCATTGTTTTTGAGTTGAACGCTTTTGTTGCGGGTATCTGGGAAGTCCAGGATGGGACTTGAGAGTCAAGGCGTTTGAAGGGTTAGGGAGCTCAGGGTATGGGGTCTAGGCAATCACGGGGTTTTCTGGGCTATCAGGCCTGAACGTCCCTAGCAGGTAGCAGCATGGATATAAGAGCTTCCCTGCTGATATCAAACATGAATGCCCGGGTACTTCGTGAGGGCTATGCTTTTCTTGTCTCGCTTTGTTCATACTTTCCTGAAAGCTTCTTGAAATTTCTGTGGAACACGCGTGGCTTGCCCATACCTCCGAACACACCCGCGACCCAAGCCTAGCTTAAAAGCCCAAAGCCCTCAAACTTCATCCATGAAACGTTTGCCCTGATTCTGAGAGACCCTGCGTTGGGAGTGCGGTTCACGCCTGTACATTTCGGACCGGAAATTCTTGCAAAATGTAGAAGACCGTCCAGCGCTTCCAACAGCCTCTAGCTACAGTAAGCACAGCAAATCCTAAATTCTGAACCCACAGGACCATTTGGACATGGTCTCCTTCGCTGTCCTAGATGCTAGGGAAGAGAAGCTTGATCAGTTAGCATACATTCACCATGATTAGCAAGAGTGCAGTACGTATTACTAGTATTCTTAGTCTTATTAGTATGATGATAAGTATTATTTGTAATATATCAGAACAATTTGCACACTTAGTTCTGTTTTCTTAGCACGACAACTGCCAAAGAAAAAGATTTAACATAGGAAGTGAGACATCGGCCTTCGCAAAAGAGCCACAAGGCCTAGGCGGGATGATTGTTTGGTCCAGGGTCTAGGGTTTAGGGTTCAGGGTTGTTTTTTAATTGTTGTAGGGAGGCTCCACGAGAGTGTCTCTGATCCAGGCCACATGAGCCTAGGGCACGCTTCAGGGTGGAGTCCTTGTTTCGGAGACGGGCGGAGCCCTAAACTAGAAAAACAAATTCGAAACAGATTCGCCACTCTGGACGTTAGGTTCTCCTAAGCCGGGAATACCCTAAACCCTAAAATTTCTTGAGTTCCTGGCCGACTGTAAACTGAGGAAGCATTTTGCACGAGCCCACAACGTGTCCTGCACGGATAGCTGCGACCTACTCCTCTTCAAGCAGGAGACCTTGTCTGGGTTGTTTAGGGTATAGGGTTTAGGGAGTAGGGTTTAAGGTTTAGCGAGTGTCACATCTGGGTCCTGAATACCAAGCACCTCCGTAGTACCTTTTTCCCCCTTTCTTAGGGTCCTGAGTAACTTACTGGTTCTTTGTATGGAATAAGCGAGTACATTCTAGGGGTTAGGGCCTTAGGATTAGTAGGGAATATGGGAATACATTATACAGGGATTGCATTCCCTTATTCCCATACTAAGAACCAGTAAGAATAAGCATCACCTCTAAGTGTTTATATTGCCCTGACATTGTACGTCCCTGCGGCATGTATGTGTGAAGTGTCCAAGCCAAACAGAACATATAGTCCCCCTTAAGTAGATAGAATATGGCTCTGGGTCAATCATAGCAAGGTCCCATACACGCCATATTCTATCCACGTAAGGGAGACCGTAAACCGCAAACCCATCCTGCATGTTGTGCGGACGTAACCGGGATGTGTGTTTTACTTGCTGCCTAATGCTCCTGCCAAGGCTCGCCCAGGACGCCACAGTAAATCTATGCTTAACAGAGCCCAAAAACCTCAAACGCCCCGCGCCCGCAAAACCCCACGCACCCCAAACAAGCAGCCGAAGGATGAGAAAGAGGAACCTTACTTGGTGCCTGGCCGTCGATTCGCCGAAGAGGTTCAGATTGATTGCTACAAGCACTTGCTGCCTGTGGTCAGCGAAGTGAAGACCCTGGAATGTATAAGGTTGGATTTTTTGGGGTTCCAGATTCCAGAAGCTTTTGTCGTAATTAATCGGTTTTGGGTGATGTGGTCTCCGATTGCAATATGTGGTGGGTACCTGCAGGTTTATGATTGGGGTGGCTTTGTATGGCTGACTTAATCTGCCCGGCGTTTTACATGGAATGAAGAATGAAGTACAGCCGCCGTTCCAGAAAGCCCCAAGGTCCAAACTCCCGATAATCTATGCGCGCCTGCCCTGCTTATCGTCCCCTGAAGTAGATAATGCTTTGAGTATAATATAATTAAGACCCCCTATATACCCCATATTATGTCTGCTTAAGTGGGACTATACACCTAAACACTAAACTTAAACACTAAACCCTATAGTCTATCTACTTAAGGGGGACTAGGAACAAGACACACTTCGATCGTGTCACCACGGCCTTCGACACTGCCATTGTCGGCTTCTTCCACTCCAGCAAGAGCGAGGCGCCTGGGTCGGGTCCAAACTTCATTCATTGTCGATGAGTGAAAACTGTCACTCGCCCTTTTTGCCAAAAGGCTGAATCTGTCACATGAGGGCCTCAAACTTTTCAGACAGAACATGTTTGGATGGTTCCAAAGTTGCCAAAACTAGTTTGTTCACCCATAATTACAAGTTCATTCTGCAGACTCGCAGACAACAGCTGTTGTTTTCGGCCGTCAGCCTCTACCGACTTGGGGTGCACCAACCTTCACACATTATACACACCAGGAAGGAAGCTGGCCCAAGAAGCACTCGATCTTTTGGGGGTGCGTTGCTGAAGGGTGTGGCCACCACTGAGGCGGAGTCCAGCGCATTGGGCTGAATGACGCCCCCACTGTAGAGGATGTCGAACATGTAGGGCCTAGTTAGGGTTGATCACGTAGCACAGTCTCTGAACTTCTATCTAGCTTTTGAGGCCCTGGAAGAGAGCAGTGGCGATTTCTAGAATCCTGTATAATCTGATTTGCCACGATTAACTAGTCACATTCTGTGCCTGAGAAATTGAGTATGGTTCGTTCTGCTGCACTTCCATCCGCAGCCGTGTCCGAAGTCAAAGAACAAGCTGCATCAGATGTGCACATCGTAGTGGAGGATTCGCATCACATATTGAAAGCGCAGGACCCCAGGAACACGAGTGCTCCAAGCGCTGCAGAAGTAGGAACCTCACACCTTTGACGCATTGGGTCTGCTACGAGGGGTGCTGGTAGCAATTCTTGCCGTCTTGCCCATGGGGACCGCATGCTCATGTGAGCGCACGGATGACACTTCCCTGGAGTTTACATTTGCTGCAGAGCAGCAGGCCCAGGCCCCGAGGAAAGTTTATGACCTGACGGATGGAAATGCATTGGCTGAGTTCCTCGTGGAGGCGCCTGTTCCAGCTTCCCGACCTAAAACTTCTAAACCCTGACTCCCCAATATAACCCCTAGAAAACCCATTATAGTAGTTTCCACGATACTAACCCATGATACTGATCTGAAGCTCTTTCGAGTTGGAACAAGCAAGTGTGGGCCCAAACCAACCTGGGCCCCAGTCTGAGACCATACTTCTCAGCTAAGGCAGAACTGTGTTCCCAGAGGGTCCATATACCCAATACTTAGGCACTTGGGATTTGGGTAATAGTAATTCTGGTACAGGTTTTGGGGTAAGTATCTGATTATTAGGTACTTGGACCCTTAGGGGTTCAGATTGTATGAACATCTGAGGATGTTCGAACAACAGTTCTTGTTTGCAGCATTCCCAGAGATTGGGGCCATTGTTGGTGTTGCCCTCAGGCCGATATCAAATTAGTACGGGGCAACTACTTGGTGCAGCTCTCTCAAAATCCGGGTGGAAGGCTCATGAGACGACAGGAGATGGTGCCTTGGGCGCTTCAGACTCAAAAAGTTTTAGACCTTTGTTCAGATCCTTGGAGGCTTCTTGGTGGGTGGCCCTTCTTGTCTGCAAGATCCGAACAGATTTTGTGGTGCGTTGCGGTGTCTGATTATGTTTGATTTGATACTTCTGGAATCTTGTCAGGGCTTTCTATGGCACCAGACGTCTTTTGTGAATTGGGCCGACATCTTACAATTGAGGTTTTAGTAGTTGTACGCAGAAAGCCTAGGAGATCTATTGGCGGTCTCAACTCTAACATGTGCCCCGGGCCGCTCAGGAGTGCGCACAGACCGATGACGGAATGCCAGCTCTTGTTGGCCATGAGGAGGTCCTTGATCGGGCATCCGCTGGAAAACCATTACCGATCATGGTAGTGTCGCATTGCTGGGAGTCGAAGCAGCATGCTGATCCCTACGGACATCAACTTCGGCAGCTTGTGAAGAAGCTCCAGCAGCCATACGCCCACGACGATTGCGGCTCAGACATAGACGAATTCAAACTACTCAGACACAGCAGATTCAATATGGACCAGAAGAAACAACTTGACCGCCAGAAGGAATTGCAACATGTGTGGGTCTTCTTCGATTTCTGTAGCTTGCACCAATACAAGAGAGCAGGCTCTGAGGTTGCTGCATTTGGCCGTGCCATGGCCAATATGCACGTGCTCTACTCACACGAGGCCGCTGAGACCGTGTTCATTGATAAACTTACGCCAACCGACGTTATTGAGGCAAACAAGGACGGTCTTGTCGCAGTGTACGATGAAGAGTCAGGCATGGTCAAGCAAACCCCTGCTTCAAAGCTGGAGGCAAATCGAACTCCGTACGAGTCTCGCGGATGGTGTTCTGCAGAGGTACAGTGGTCATGCACCAAGGGTGCAAGGTCCAAGTCCGCGATTCCTCTACCGCCGCACGTGTTCGCGGAGCGGTTCGCAGATGGCAAGGGCACTGGCCTCAAGTTCACTCACCGCAGCGATGCTAGTGAGGTGCTGCGGCTGCAAGCACAGGTCTTCAACGAGAAGATCCCCAAATGCAAGGTGTTTGAAATCAATTTGCATGTCGTGACAGAGGATGATTTGCGCGACCTCGCCGATGCCTTGCCGGCATTTGGCTCCCTTAAGCGTCTCTTTCTCAGAAAGTATAAGGGTGAGCCTGTAGCAGACGTGGAATCCGTGCTTCTGCCAGCTCTGGCCAAGGCCTTGGTGCAAGTGACTTGCCCCAACCTTGAAGTCACTTTTAGAAGTTGGCCAAGGGTCGAAGTGGGGCTGGGGCGTCTTTCAGATATGACCCTAGCCGCCTCATTGGTCCTCGACCAACCGACCACTGATAATAGAGTCCTTGAGCGAGCCTTGTGTGAAGCCTTCCGCAAAGTTGACGACGCCCATTGCGTTCATAAGTTTTCTGGCGAGGTAGTGCGGCTCAGCGACTATGCATCAGGTGCGGCATAGCAGCTTGCTAGAGATTGCTGGAAATGTGCATAAGTTTCACCGTGCGCAGGTACTGCAGGCTTAGAATAGCTCGAGAAAAACCGGCATAGAATCTTGCCAGCCATAGTGTTCTGTGTTTATAGCGACTGCATGTCTGCGTTGCTTTCCTTGATGATAGTAAGACGCCTCTGGCATCATAGGACACCGCAAGCGAGTTTGTTTAAGTGCGCAGTGTTTGGTTGGAGTTTTCGACGCAGATGCTCCTTTGTTGCAAGCACTCTGACTCTGAAAAGGAATCCATGGGCTTTGGCAACCCAATCTGTAGTCATCACTCAACGGCCTACAGCGAACCTACGACTTGATTGCGAGCACCCTAACCCGGAAACAGGGAACGGCCAATCAATCTTACCAACAATGGCAAATCAGGTGGAGAAGGACATGGAACATCCAACGGAAGCAGGGCCTTATATACATATAATATGGATCACAGAAAGAGATTTAGGAGCCACAGCTGCCAGCTCATGTTGAGGCTAAATTGTAGTCTTGTAGAGCCAGTGTTGCAACAGTCTTCAGAGTAGTCGGTGTCAGCTTGCCCGCCTGAGGGGGATTTGGGTGTTGACAACTGAAATACCGGGTTTAGGGTTTAAGGGCTCCGGGTTCAATAAGGGTTTGAGAAAATTTGGTTTAGGGTTAAAGATTTAGGGTTGAAAGGTTTTTGACCTTGGCTTTAGGGCTAGGATGAGGGACCTCTATCCGGACTTTGCTCATACAATGCAAGTGGCCTGTAACTTACTGGGCCCTGCAGAAAGACCAAGTATAAACCTCCTTGCAAACTCTTAGTTGGGTTCCAAGGCACGCAAACAGAACCGCGTTGGAACAAACCCAAGCTCATATTCTACATGAATAGATAAGGATGCCCGCGCCCTTTGCGTCCAACAGGATCCATGGTATCCAAGATTCCGTGCCGTGGCGCGGGAGCTACGCGGCCACGCGCTTTTCGGCGCTGCTTTCAACGGCCTGCTGCCGCAGGACGATCTCCAGAAAGCATACCCTGGGCATCAGGACTATAAATAATACCTAATTATTCCTAGAAATCTTTGTATAACTGTCACGACAACTATGATTATGCGGTCCGGCTTGGGTTGCGAAGCTCCTGACCTACGTGGAGTCTGTAGAGTAATCATGGAAGAACGACCAGGGGAAGTATCATTCACCTGGATGGGCGTTGAAGCTATCCGTCTTGTCATCAGCCGTGTTGGGCTCATTATTTAATGAACCTCTTTCGGGCAGACCAAAGGTGCAGGAAATTAGGGGTTGTAATGAAAACTCTGGGGCCGGAGCTCTGTCAGCGTGGGAATAGGAGTAAGAGTAGGAGCTCTGTGAACTTGATTTTCAATCGCGTGCCAGGATTTTTGCAGAATGTTTAGGCCGAGGAACTTAATTTTCGTCACGTCTTCGTAAAATTCACCCATGGACCCCCCCATAAAAAGGGATTATATCAAGCAAACCACAGGTTCGCAATTTAAATCCAACCCAAATCCCAAATCTCAGGATTTTCTCTGGCCAGGGGAATTTTTCATTGCCACTCCAAGTATATAATTAATCACTAACCTAAAACTATGGAGCTTCCTCTCTGCAGTGGCAAAAATGAGGGTACCCCCCTTCAGGGACCTCATGAGGAAAAGCACATTCATCTTTACCCTATATCACATATTCCTTTATTCCCTACTAAGCCCCAGGAAGCCATACAAGTCTGCTTGACAGTTCCTGACCTGCAGGACATGGGCATCGACTGGGATGCCGAAGCGGTGCCACTTCAGGAGCCACGTTCTCCAGGGTAGACTGCTTTAGGGTTTAGGGTTTAGGGTTCAGGGTTCAGGGTTTAGGGTTTAGGGTTTAGGGTGAAGGGGTTCAACGGGGGGTTAGTTAGGATTGAGGGTCAGAGCTTAGGGTCTAGGGTTAGGTCGCAGGAAGTTGAGCTCCAGGCTCTTGGTGTTATCAGGAATCCACAACCCACAACACCCAATCCGTCAACCGCGCGACGACTGTCAGGAGCAAGGAGTGGAAGACAACCCTGCAAAACCCTTGGTGCTGCTTTTCAAGCCAAAGGAGCCGCCGTTGGGGTTTAGGTGTTTACGATTTAGGGTTTAGGGGTCAGGTGTTTAGGAATTTAGGGTTTAGGGTTTAGGGGTTAGGGGCTCAGGGTTAGGGCATAGATGTATGGGCCCATCATATTATATGCCCTAGATGTATCTGCGGGACCTTTAATAAACCCTGGTGCACAGAGTCAGATAGGGTGAGCATATTTCTAACCTTAAAGATTGCTAAGCCTTGAATTCCATATATTCTAAGTGTGCAAGGGCTTTGGGCTGTGATTTGACAATTCTGTTCGGCACATTGTGCAGTCTGGGCCCAGTAATTCTTAATGGCGACCCGCTGGAGTCTTGGGGGGCAAGGGGTTGATAGCTGGCGTTTTCAAGTTCTGTGAGCATACGTACTCATCAAGAAAACATAGGCGCTTTCCAGATACGGGTAGCATTTTTGGCCAGTATTCCTTTGAAGAAATCCTTGCCTTTGACGGGAAACCGCCCTGGTCAAGTCTGCTGTCAACCAAATTTTGGACTTAAACCTTCAGCCAAGTGGCCCAGTGACCCGAAGGAGCACAGGCACGTGGAGTTCACAGGGGAGCTCACCCTGGAAAAGCTGTCTCATTTCTCCAAGATACTGAGCCTTCCGCTTGTGTCGCAATACACACCTGAAGGCCGGCAAAAATTCCAAGTGCCTTGTCAAATTTGGCAATGGGTAACACCTACCTGTACAGTTTAATGGCTAATACCTACTAACCAGGGGGAGATTCCTGCGTTAGGGATCCAGGGATCTTGGAGAAATTTCAGGGGAATGGAGGCTGGAGGGTGCTGACAAGTTCTGGATTGAGTCTTTTGAGCTCATTTCTTTCTCTGTCTAGCTGAACTATCGGCGAAGAGGTTGGCACGACTTGTAACCAGCTGAAACCATCAGCCAGCCACATATGGGGGTTTCCCTAACTTCCTGTTCTTAAAACGGTGGCAAATGCGATGTAGTCTTGAGAAGGAGATGCAGATGGGCAGTTGGCACGATCACAGCCGTCTTTCGTACTACAACACCCAATTTGGCAGCCATGACTTTGACAACCATCAACACTGCCTAGACCTCCTCGCGAAAATCTCTTTCCGAAGTTGAGACCTCTCTGGGATCCTGAAATGTCGTAGGACCCGAAAAACAAGCTCACATTGCGAGGTCTAGGCAGCAGGAAAGCTTTGTCCTAAAACCTACCTGGACCTACCAAATATCCCGGAACAAAGACTGCTAACCCCAAGATATCATAGCAAGCAGGCAATTGTTAAAGGACGGTCATTCTTTGGGTACAGGGCTTATGACAGTTTATGAGGTGTCTTCCATACACAATAATTCCTTGCCCTAGCAAATACCCCCGCCACACCCCCTCACAACACATGCTGCGAACCTTTTCTATTTCAGGAGATGATTTTTGCAGCGAGAGAGGGAGTAACCCTAAACCCTATATGTCTGAGCCTGTAAGGAGCTGAAAGTCCCTTTGGGCATGCTTTGGCTGGATGGTGAGACTGGGACGGACTGATACTGACTGGTTAGAAACACCGTGTGTAGGAGTTTAGGGTTTACAGGGTGCAGTTTAGAATTTGGAGTTAGTGGCTTTGGGGTTTAGCGTTCAGGGCCGGATTCAGGGTTGAGGGGGTTGCGTTCAGTTCGGAATTGTGGAGCGTTTCTTTGCTTTGGCTTGACAAATCTGGCTACATGTCAAAGTACGAAATTTTCAAATGACAAATATCTGCATGCACCCCCTAGTACGCTTAATTGGGGAGGTATGATAGCTCAAAATTCGTACTTAGAGCGAAGGGCCTAGGTAGATTACACAGGTGATGGACCTCCTCCACTTACACCCTCCAAACCTCCCAATCCCCAACCACGGAAGATTCCTGATCCCTCGCAGACGTGTTTCCAAAGATGAAGGCCTCCCTTGTCAGGCTCTCAAAGAAGGAGCCCACATTCTTTGGAAAGTTGGACATGCCGTTTGAACACACCCAAAGACTCGGATCACACAGTTGAGAAACCTCCTAAACAAATCCATAAGTTAGATGGAAAATTCCCATGTATATGGACCTCCAACTGCCCTGTTGGGGCTCAAGTACCGGCTACCAGGCGCCCTATAGGGTAACATCAGGGTCTTGGTAGCTACAAGAAATTGAGGAGATGTGGGCCCTTACCTGTTTCCTGGATCCTTATTATGGGCCCTTAACTGGGTTTGTAAGGGCGTTACAGGGAGGGTATGTAATGGGTACATAAGCATCCCCGGATTAGGGGCCATAGTTCCAAGCTTAGAACCCTTGTGCTTTCCGCTGGCCTCAGGAGAGCGGTGAGGGTGAAGCGAACAAGGCTGCCTCAGAGGCCAGGTTCTTGAGGGAGTTTTTCAAAATTGAAGGTGTGTTGGTTTTTGGTAGGGGAGGGGGGCGGGTGTAGTAAGAGAAGTGTTATAACTTGAGGGGTATGCTTAGGAAGCGTAGTTTTGCAGCTCTTGGGGTGTGGAGGGTCTAGGCGGAGGGTCAGGGGGACTTAGTAAGTAGGTCAATAACCCTAAACATCCCCATTATTGACCTACTTGCTAAGTCCCCCTGACCCTCCAAGTAGGCGGAGGCTACAAGTAAGTACGAGGTTCAGGGCTCAAGGTGCAACTTACTGATGGTTAGTAGGGAATAAGGGAATATACTTCCTAATTATAATCACTGTGTAGTAGATTTCCGTGTTCCCTACTAACCCGCAGCAGGGTACTGTACGCCTAAGGCAGCTTAAGGGGTAAATTACAGAGGGTTCATTTTGGGGTTCAAGGCAGGTTCATGGACTACACGAGGATTATATAGGGGTATGAAAGCTGGTTTAGTAGGTTACATGTATACTTCTGGTATTCTAGGGTACCTCAACTAGAAATGATATTGGCAATTAATCAGGCCCCTGCAGATGGATTTTGCATGGGGCTCCCCAGGTGATTGGGGTTTAGGGTTTAGGGTTTAGGGTCTGAGAGTATCCAGGGACCATGAAGCTAATATGATGCCATGCGCACACTAGCCCAGCGCGGACCGTCCGTATCCGCCTGTCATCCATCCCGGAGAACTTCAATGGGTGGTTGTCAAAATTGTGGTCCCTTTTTGGATCCCTATAATACGGCACCTCATATTTAGGGTACCCAAAAAAGCACCATAATTTTGACAACCACCCCAATGTTGACAAAATTCCATTTTTTGTTTTGGAATTCCATCTGACTAGTTCATCGTTCAGCTTTTGTAGACCGGGTGACTAGGTTAGGAAACGCAATGGGGGAAATTTTGCCTGAGCAGGGAATGCCCTTTTGTCTTTCACAAGTATATTAAAATTTTACGGACAGCTTGTTGTACTTGTTTTCCGCAAAGTTGGGCAAGACGTGCTGGATTGGCTGCTCAACTTGTGAATCTGCGAAGAGTCTGCGGCTTTAGTCCTCCCGAAAACCCAATTTAGGATTACTGCATTTGGTATCCGCAGCTTTTTTTGTTCTATACCTAGACCCCCCAGTAGGGATACTGGAAAAAGAAAATGGAAACGAGCATGTTATAGGGCTTATATCTTAGTTTAGGTATGGAACTCTTAGCAGCTCCCTCGGTGATGAACCGGCTGCTGGGATGCCAGACAGGTCTTGAAACGGCTTGCGCTGCGATTCTCCGGCCACCTTGTGTTTGTAACCCTGAACAACACCCGCGATGGGCACCTCGCCTGCAAGTGAGCCCTACCAACTGGATATAAGGTTCCGGAGATGAATAGCCTATAGGCACAGCCCGTACCCATGCATCCTCATGCCAGCCGACACCCCCCGACAGAATTCCGAAGGTCTGCTGTGGGTGATTTGCTGGGGTAAATTCGCTCACGACACTGCAATAGCTGGGCAAATTACAGCAACCTCATCTGACCTCATCCGAACTTGTGTTTTATCCCAAATTGGCTTGCTTAATTTTATGGCTTGAAGGCTGCTGCACAGTGGCCAGAATAGTTGGTAAGAAGGATAAGAAGACGAGTGATCATTATAATGATAGCAGTGATCTTAGAAACTATAATAGGATTGGTCTTGGGCTTGGGCTTCAGGGGCAAAGAGGTTGACCTGAACAGACTCCAGGAACTAGTTCACAGCAGTTGGTAGGTCACAGAAAATGCATTGCTTAATGATTCCCATCCCATCATGGCCACCCCAGCAGGAAGGATCGAAATGGGGCAGATGGACACATCCGCCCAACAGTTCCTATTCAACCCTCTCTAAAACAGATCCCCATTTAATCTTCCAAGCATACTTCACACCAACATTCTTAAAGCTAGAAGCCCGGAAGCCCTACGTGACCCTATGGAACACTATTTTTGGAGGGTTGTGTTGCTGTTTTGCCGAAGCTAAACAATATGCGCAGGCCCGAGTAGAAACTAAATCCTGAAGCCAAAACCTTAAATCACAAACCCAGAAAACCTCGACTCTAAGCCCCTGAGACTCGACCTTAAACCACAATTTAAGGTTTAGTTTAGGGTTCACCTGGATCCTACATGTCCTTCCTTTTTGGGGGTTCTGTCCTACATATTTATAGGGCATATCCCCAATAAGGTAGGACATCCAGGGTCCAGGTAACCCAGATCTGTGATTGATAAACCCGCTCCCCGTAATAGGGATTAGAATAGGGATCCTAATGTTATGGCGCCTAGAAGGATGGGGTTTATTAATCAGGGGTCTACAACCCTAAATCCTAAATGGTAGTTTCCATTTTATTCTCCATTATCCCAATATAACCCCAACAAAACCTTAATATTGCCAGAAAACCCTTTTAATAAGGGGTCTACATTAGGGTCTAGGGAAATTGAACCACGGTCCAGGTTTCTCATGCGGCCCTTCGGGTTAGATCCGCGCCGGGTGCCTGCCTTCGGCATTGCTGCCGCCGAGGACCTTGCAGCTGACTGACTGGGGGTTACCTGGCTCTCAGGCCATGCTGCGCGCAAGCCTTTTGCAAAACGGACTTGACATGACCTGTAGTCTAGACTCCTTAAAGGGGGTCATGTAGGGGATTATATAGGGGACTACTATAGGGGTTACTAAGGGGGATACTAGGAGTTTAGACAATGGCTCACATAGCCAGAACAGCGATCTGCATAGTCGGGACCTCTAACCTTAAATCGTGAGTCACCGACATGGAGATTTGCTAGTGCCAAATTGGCACCCGGACATTAACACACAAACAAAGCCGCAAATCTCTCCGGATTTCGCTGTGAGAAAGGAGCCCGACGCAGCTCGCTTTGCTTTAGATGAGACGTTGCTTGGACATGCCTCGTTGAATTTGGGGTGAAGGGTTCATAGATCTTGGGAAAGCTAGATTCGACAGGGTTTATGGTTTTTAGTGTACTTGAGACGCTAAAGGTTCGGGACTCAGCGTTTGTCTAGGGACTTTAGGAGGGACCCCTAGAAGGAACCCTTAATCCCATTACCATATAACCCTTATATAGTCATTATATAACCC